GGTGTTCACTGCTCGTAGACCCAAATTACACCTTTCTTGGCTGCTACTTCGAAGCACATCTGTCCTGCGTGCTGCACAACAACATTGAATATTTAGTATTTATTGCTGTTTACAGTTAGCTAGATTAATGCGATGGTGTTGTGTTTAGTATGTTGCTTTGTTTTTTTGTTTTTTTTGTCTTTTTTTGCTTGTTTTCTATTCTTATCTCAACAGGTGATCCAGGAGATTTTTATTTTTTTCTCCCCCCCTTTCTCACTGTCCCTCTCCCCTTCTGTTTTTCCTTTCCTTCCTCTTTCTTTCTCCCTTTCCTATCCCTCACTCATGTCTGTCCCGTCTGTAACATCTGAAAATAAAATATAATAAATAATAAAAACAAAGATCGACCAAATGGACCAATACGGCAATGCCACGATGATCCATTTGGCAAAGTAAATCCATTGAGTATCCTTGTTGGTCTTCAGACAACAATTCTGACGGCTAAAGAACCAAATGGGACAGGCAAAAAAAAAAAAAACAAAAACAAAAAAACAAAAAAACAAAAACAAAATTCACCCGCTGATTGTGTGAGCACTCCTGGCTCAGCGCAGCGTTAAAACGTTGTTGTGCAGCACGAGCAATAGAAATGAACGGGCTTCAGAGCGCGGTGCGTGCCGCGTCCCGTGTGAAAGGGTAGGTAGACTACAGAATGCGCTCACCGTGTTGCTTTTGAACAAACGTCCTCTAACCAACCTCTGTGCTGCACAAGCTTCAGCACCACTTAATAGCAGACTGAGTGGGTGTTTACATTTGACCCTGTAGATCAGAGAAAATACAGAATGAATGTTAACTTGGTTTTTATAGTGTAAACAAAAAGAGTTCAAAGCAAACATTAAAAGCCCAGAATTTCCCGGACACGACTAAGAGCGTCATCTCACTCCTGATAGGCTGGCAGTTTTAACCCATCAGCATCAAGCCCCGCCCAGAATATTACATCTTTTAAGGTCAGGTGTGTGTTTCAGGGTGGGGCTCGGGCCATTCAGATGGTCGTCCAGGCTCGCATCATTAAGCACCTGCTGTTCACCCAACAGAGCACCTCAGACGGACAGACGCTGCACAGGTGAGGCCTCTCTGGCGTGGAAATGGTAAAGGTGAGATGTCACATGATGAAAGATGAACATGACAGAAAATGGGAACAGTGGGACGGTAACTGGTCTTTCTCTGTGCCCAGCGGTTCTCTGAAGTCGCGTCAGTTTAGCACCCAGCATCCTGCGTCACCTTTGACCTTTGGTGTCCTCGGCTCCCCACAACTCTAATGTGTTTCTATTATTTTGTCCACCCTCCAGTCTGACAGAGGTAGGACGGCGGGAGCAGGACAGAGCATTGGCGGCCGCCCTGAGCGACAGCCTCTGGTTGGCCGGCCAGGAGGCGAGCGCGACTGTCACCTTGGTAACCGAAGACTATTGCATCACATCTCACCTGGACAACAAACTGGACACCTTCACAGAGAGGGTACCGCCCTTCCTCACAGCGCTGCGACCGCTGCTCCGTCCCCAGCATCTCGTCACGTCTGTTCTTTCATGTCTTTCAGCTGCAGCTCTTCACGTTCAGCGAGAAGGACGCCATCACCAACTTCATCCTCGACCACATCCAGTGCGTGAGTACAGCATCCAATCAGGACGCCAGAATCAGGTCACTTTACCTTAGCGCTAACTCTTCAGCTTGTTGCATTAATGCGGATTCAGGTGAGAAAAACGAGCACTGATCTTTACGCACGTGACACGACTACACAAAAATACGGCCTGCGATCGGACGTGGAGCTCTGTCGGCCCGCTGTCGGAAAGGTTTCGGGTAGTTTGGAGCCCACCGTGCGACGTGACCTGTTGTCTTGTAGTTTCAGGAGGAGGGCAGTCATGGCGTCATCCTTTTCCTCTACAGCCTCATCTGCTCCCGTACCATCGAGAGGTAACCACACAGCGAAGCTCTGCGATGTTAGCGCCCCCGACAGGACACAGTCTGTTACAGCCTGCTGGTTAACTGAGCCGTTGACCATGTGCGTCCTCTTCCTCACAGGCTGAGGCAGGACCTAGACTCTCCTACGTCATACCTGCTGCACCTCAGCCCGGGCAGCTCTGCCTGTCGGCAGGTGAGAGCTCACCTGACTCATGTTGCCAGACTTCATTTAGAAATCTTTGTGTAAGGCGTTTGTACCTGTGCACTATCAGATACCAGGCCCGCACCTGTCACAGGTGTGTCGTTTTACATGCGTGCTCCGCCCACTCATGTCATTCACTCAGCAGCTTCCTCGTCGCTCTGTGTTCAGCTAAAAATGTCTCAATCAGAGAGCACCATGGGAAGTAAAAATCTGCTGGGGGGGCTAAACAGCTGACAGTGACATCATCAGACATGGATGCTCGTTTGTGTTTCCTGCTGATGTCGCCTCCGTCAGCCTCAGCTCTTGTGCTGACCGCTCAACGATCAGAGCGTCTCTGTTAGCCTGAGAGCGTCTGCGAGCGTGCGCACCTGTAGAGTGCAAAGTGGGAGGAGCCTCCAGGTCTCTGCTTGTGTATGCAGGCTCTGCTGAACCTGCTACTGACCGGCAGAGCCAGCCCGCACCTCTTCAACGGGATGCGGCACTTCGGGCAGGACGGCCTGCCTCTGCAGCGCCCCCTGCAGGGCGTCCTGTCCCGCAGCGATGTAGGATATCTGCGCTGGAGTCGAGAGGAGATGGAGCGCGGTGCGCTGCCGCAGGTAGAGACCTGTAACCGAGCACCGCTGGCACACACACACTCACAGCTATGTGTTGATTACAGGTCTTTCGGTGACATGAGGAAGCAGCAGAGCACAGCTGATGTAATCAGGATACTCACAGTAACCTTTCAGGTGTGCCTCAGGTGTGTGTTACATCCGTCTATGCTGCTCTCATCAGTCTTCAGTCCTTCAGTTTCTCATTTTAAACAGCTGACGGCCGGCAGCTGTGAGCTGAGGCTGGGAAGCAGCTCGTGGTGCTGTGAGGTCGTTTCACTACAGCAGAAACCAGTAAAACTGTGTCCTTTACTGGTTTACCCATTATATTACAGCCTGATACACACCGTTTGGGCTCTGTGGATTCAATTCAATTTTATTTATATAGCGCCAAATCACAACAAAAGTCACTTCAAGGCGCTTCATAGATACAGAGAAAAACCCAACAATCATATGACCCCCTATGAGCAGCACTAGGCTCAGGGAGGGGCGGGGCCATCTGCTGTGATTGGTTGGGGTGAGAGAAGGAAGACAGGATAAAGACATGCTGTGGAAGAGAGACAGAGGTTAATAACAGATATGAGTCAATGCAGAGAGGTCTGTTAACACATAGTGAGTGAGAAAGGTGACTGGAAAGGAAAAACTCAATGCATCATGGGAATCCCCCGGCAGCCTACGTCTATTGCAGCATAACTAAGGGAGGATTCAGGGTCACCTGGTCCAGCCCTAACTATATGCTTTAGCAAAAAGGAAAGTTTGAAGCCTAATCTTGAAAGTAGAGATAGTGTCTGTCTCCTGAATCCAAACTGGAAGCTGGTTCCACAGAAGAGGGGCCTGAAAACTGAAGGCTCTGCCTCCCATTCTACTTTTAAATACTCTAGGAACAACAAGTAGGCCTGCAGAGCGAGAGCCAAGTGCTCTAATAGGGTGGATCTAAGGAGCATGGAAAGAAAAGCGTCTGGATTTCTTTAAACTTCTTGAAGACGTTTTATCCGAGAAGCTTCTTCAGTTCTGAGAGCAGATGGTGGCCCTATGGGGAGTGTCCCTAAGAGGGTCGTGGATCCCCTATTGATCCTCTGCCTCAGAGCTGGAGAAGCTTCTCAGATGAAACGCCTCCAAGTAGTCCAGATGCTTTTCTTTCCACGATAACCATGACTGAGGACCTGTGGATAATGTGTTATCACTCATCCACCTGGATCATTCTGTTAAGGGCGTGGCCTCGTTGATGCGGGTGTACCGTTAATTTGGGTGAGAGCGATACTAGGATTTCATCATTTTATGGATGCAGCTTGCTAAACACTCCCTGTTAGCTGATATCCAAGCACTCCACCCTCTCCACCTTCAAACAAAACCAAAAACTAATATTAGCCAACAGGTGCCATTAGGCACTGACCAACCACCTCCACCTGCATCAGAGACTTTCTCCACGAGGCTCTTTAAGTTAAACAGCTGAGTTCTTACAGTCAGAAGAGCGCCCCCTGCCTGTCTCCCTCCGTCTGCAGGTGGGCAGCATGCTGAAGACTCCCAGGTTCCCGGTGTGGGTTTGCAGCATCAACAGCAGCTGCTCGGTCCTGTTCAGCGCCACACGCTCGCTGCTGTCAGACTGGAGGGCGGAGCATCTGTTCCAGCTGTACTACTACTGTGGGCAGAGCTCGCAGACAGCGACGGCCAGGCTGACAGTCGGTGAGCGTTGCGGTCGCACGTCTGCAGGTCTGACCGGGATCCCTCTCGTGCTTCATCCACCATCTGTTTCCTGTTTCCTGTACAGATACTCACTCCCACCACTGGGAGGCGTCGTCCAGAGATGGAGGAGATCCAGAGAAACGGTTTCCCTCACTGGAGATGACCATCAGGACCAAGTGGGACGGAGCTGTGATCGCCTGGAACGGCACCTCCCCCTTCTACTGAACATCACCACAAACACTGGTCTGCGGTCGTCACAGCACTCCCGACTGTTTTTACCATTATAGGAAACCAGATGTTAAAAGTCCCGTTACAAACCTCACGTCTTCAGTAACCACTCATGATTCGGACCAGAGGTGTTGGCGAGGTCACCGTGGTCACTGACGAATCAGCGAACACAGCCGAGCACAAACAGAGCGTCTGGAGGTAAAATGAATCCAGACTCCAGCCTGTTTGCATCCCACGTTATTCCCTGCTGTCCTCTGGACTCGTCTCTGTCATCAGACCCTGACGACTTCCTGTTCTCGTCTCCGTGTTTCTGGGTGAAGCTGAAGGCGGCTCTGTAGTAGCGTCACGTCTGCCCAAGGTTTAACCTTTGAACCAAACTGGTGTTTGTCTTTGATGATGTTTCAGTCTCGTGTCCTCATCTTAAATTGTTTGATCTTCGTTTAGCTGAAAGTCTTCTGTTCCTTTGAAATGTAACAGAAATAAATCTGACTCATGTTTAAACATCCATGGAAACTTGTATTTGTTTGGTGTGATCTCCGGGCTTGGAGGTTTCTGTTCCCTGTCACACTGCTTCAGTGAGGTCCGGCTCTGAGGAGGCCCACGGCTTCCTGAAAGCCGTCCGAGGCTTCAGTGAACATGATCAGCTTCCTCTGATTTTACCTTTGGCATGACAGGCTGCTGCTGACAAAGAGCCTAAAGAGAGTTTAAAACGGCTTCTTTGCTGGAGAGCTGTTGCTCAAGGGCACTTTAAAAACTACAAGAACATCTGACTCAAGACTTTTGCACATTACTGTTGTATTTATACAGCACGCATCAACACACTGGGGCCAACACAAAGGATAGAAGGGCCTTCAGCACCGTGGCCACAGGTCTGTGGTCACATGTCTGAAGATGAAACAGCGTTACAGTAAACCGAGCAGCTGGATACGGGAGCATGGAGCAATGTCGGAGTTATCCAAGGTTACAACATTCTCAGGCAAAAGTTCTGGTGACCAAAGTGAGCTCGAGGTTCCTGAGTCTGTGTTTCAGAGACGACTTTCCGACCTCTCAACTCTGTTCAGGTCTAAAAGCTTCAGCCAGCAGTGATCAGAGCTGCGTAGGACGGACCGACACCCGAGAAGCTCGAACGCGGCTGATTGAAACACGAAAACTTCAACCCTGGAGTTCTCTAGCACATCAAGACTATCTCTCCACACCGTTACATATTCCATATGTACGGGGTACGATCTCCCTTGGTCGTGGCGCGTGGATACTTCTTTAAGTATCACAGCTCACGTGCGTGGTTCACATGACCAGCGGGGCTCCTGTCATTGCTCGAGTGGGGCGGCTCCTCGCCTCTGCAGCTTGAGCCACTGCTATTACTGCTGCTCATTACTGCTATTACTGCGAAAGTGCATCGAATTTCTATGCGACCCATATCCGATCATGGTGTGACAGTGTGAACGGCACAAATCCGATATTTTCAAATCCGACCTGGGTCACTTTCGTATGTGGTCCTGAATCCGATGTTTTAGAAAGCGACTGCTGTTTGATGGGGGTTTTTTTTGTTTTTTTATATAAACTTTATTTAACAAACAATGAGTATACAACATAGGAACAGATGGGGACTTCCGGTGGCTCGTAGCACCGCATGGCCGCATAGAGAGTGACCTCCGGCACCAACCGTGTGTTTCCCCGGACTCGAGAGCTGTATTGGGGCTACACTGCCATTTTTCGACGCAAGAATGAGTGGGGATAAATCTAAAAAGGGAGGATACGGGCTACGAAACATTCTTGACTGTGAAATGGAGAAGGACGCCGCGGCTAGTGAGGCAAGCCTC